ATATTCAAATAAATAATTATTAATTGTCTGAGTAATTTCTCTAAACAAGCCAAAAAGTTATAAATCGTTGATTTAAACCTTAAACTCCAGAGATCTGATTGTTAATTCTCCACTCATACTGCTACACATTTCCTTGCTAATGAGTTTCAAGAATTTGGAGTCAGATCAAGATAACAACCTCTGCTGGATGGGTTTGAGTATTCTCATTACTTGTTTTTTTTGTTTTGTTTTTTTTGTTTTTGTTTTTTTTGGATAATGTTGGGAGAATTCACAGGTTAATCACCTGCAGGAGTAAAAGAGTTAAATACAACATAAAATGTGATTACTTTTTCAATAGTTAGTAACACAGAAATAAGAGCTTATAGGAAATCAATTAAATCTGTGTTTGAAAATTGATAAATAATTTATTGTTAAATTAATCAATTTTCATTGATGTTTGCAACTGATCTTTTTTAGAGCTGTTTTCTCCTGCTTATAACATTTGGTAGAAAACTAAACTCAATGCAACTTTCTGTCAGTAATGCAGATTAATTAAATAGAACAGTGCTCTCCCTTGGAAATTAAGTCACTAAAACCTGTGTATTATTATAATGATGATGATGATTTTTCAGGATCATCACTACAATTATAAACATTCTTTTGGTTGTTTTATTTAAAACTTTTCAATTATGTTACTATTAGTTCTTCCTTTGGCTGTTTTATTATATTGTTTCTCTGTCTTGTTCTAGAAAATTGGAGTGGTGGGCACGTATTCCCTGGTAGCCATCCTGTACTTTTTATGTGTAGTGCTTACTGTGTTCTCCTGCCCAGAGCCCCCTAATAAGGTGACCCACAAGCCTATAGGTGAGTAGTGGCCCCTGTGATTCATTTCAAGGAACCCTAAAGCTTGTTTACATTTGACAGTAAATATTGTAACACGACTCTGCTAGTTGCATAATACGTGTATGTAAAATAGATTTTTGTCATGTGAGCTGTGCAGACCTCCATGGGTTTCTATTAAAAAACTTCACCATAGAAAAATCTTGGTATGAGAGTCGTATGTATTGGGTTAAGGAGGGTTACAGCCCAACATATAGCCTTTTGACCTGTGAAATATAAGATGTTTGAAAGAAAGAAAGAGTAGTTGCTTGATAAAATTGTTATCAACCAACAGAGGGTGGGGGAAACAATGTAAGACTTGGATCTTTTTTTTTTTTTTTTTACACAAGTCGTGTCAGTGTTAAATGCTTTCATCTCTTATCAGGTCTAAAGGCTGTATTTCATGCCTACTGGGAACCATTAAAAGGTGAGTTCCAAACATAAATCTTACCCTATTCCTTTGAACTTCTATATGGGCTGAGTTTATTTGACTGTTGTTTCTCTGCTTAATGACTATAATCTATGTTTTATGCTCGGTTACATAATGTACTTCAATCAAAACTTCATTGAACAAGGTTTGTTAACCCTTTACACACTGTCATCAGTATGCATATTCACCATACTGTTCTCTCTTTTTTCAGTCCCTAATCACATACTAGCGAAGATATTGACCTTGTTAAACTGGATGTGAAAGGTTTAAGCTTGCTGCCAAAATCAAACCCCCCCTCTTTTATTTGTGATCAAAATTAAAATTGTAGTTGTGCAGCTGTGAAATCGCAATCAGAAGTGAGAAATGCAGACTAGCTAATTATTCATTGTTTTATCATTACTATTAAAAGTAAAAAATCTGAAGTTGACAAATGTGCCACTGTTGTTGGGTTGAATGAATGGCAACAATGGCGGTCAGGCTAATAGACTGTCATGTTGGGAGTGAAATTAGTACTCGTGTACCATGTACTGGTACTTACAGCCAGACAATACATTATGCGGCATGAAATTGCCTTATGGGTAAAACCTCAGTACACTGGACACCCCTTTAACCCATTAATAGTGGCAGCTTTTGGGAAAAACTGTGTTTTGAAGCTAGTCGAGCAGATTTCGGGTCACCGATGTGGTTTTAAAAGCTCAAACTTACCACAAACCCATTCACAGCTTGTACACTTGACGGCCTTTCGATCCAAATGCAAAATGGCAGCCTGAAAATCTCAAGCAGGCGCAGAAAGCAAAATTTCGAGATTTCGTTTTTGGGTTGAAAAGTAATGCCCCACTTACGACTTTTACTTTTGTCTCTTTCTCCAGTCCTTTTTTTGTCCCTTTCCTTGCCTGAATTTTCTCCTCTCTTGCTGGAAATTTAGTAGGCTTCATTTTGGTGTAGAGATTTTTTT